TCATCACACGAGAATCAATTTGATACATAGCTAATGACAACGAGATGCAAAGAGTTCACATATTGTTTATGCAACTTCATTTAGTCTCTTTGTAGCCACACATTCATGTTTGTTCGATTGAGAGCACTATTCAAGTAATCTATATTTGAGCGAAATCGAGACTCAAATTTGTATGAGAACAACCACTTTAAACACAAGAGGTGGCGTCATTTTTTGAAAAATGAAAATTTTTGAAAAGGGTCAAAATCTTTTTGCAAATTAAAAACATAAAGGAGCGATACACTAAAGCATCCACAAAAAATAGTATAAGCTAAAATTAAAAGGAACAGACAACCCAAATGTACACAAAAACACAAATGTCCATAACAAGCAAACAAAGGTGAGCCACACCCCACCACAATAAAAGGGGTTTGTCCTCAAATGCAATTTATAAGTATCCAACAGTTAAAGTAAAGAAAGAACAGAGAAAGAGTTAAAGAGGGGATCTTATCTACACGCTTGCTCCATCTGTCGGATTATTGTTGCCCAATGCATTAGCCTAAAATTTGACAATGGTCCTCGGGTTGTCATTCTGGTTCTCATTGTGTTCATTTGCCTTAGCTTCTGCAGCGATGTTAGCAGCAACCATTCTTTCCCCGTTATGGCTCGCCAAAAAGGAGTTTATAGTCATGTATACTCCGCATTTACATGAAGGAATAGTGGTATCAACGGGGACCCTTCTGCTGGATCTTGCTTTCTTACTTTCTCTTCTCTCTTTTGCCAATTCTACTATCTTTTCATCTCTTTTGAAATCCCTTGCTCTTATATGTCGGTGTGGCATATCTCTCCCTGTGACCTTTGGTCTAGCCATTTCTGTAAAAGACTTCGAGCCAAAGGTAGACAGTATTTAAACAGGGGCAGGGGAGTCCTGGGTGTAGAATTGCTTCAACAAAACAGTTGGTGAAGTGCACATCCATTTAAGCGTTTCGCTAAAAATGATGCATAGATGGCACAAGGGTGCAGACAAAAGGGTAGATAAAGAGGCTTTTGGCGAGTCACCAAGTGTGCTTGGCGACATTAAACTTATCGCTGAATGTAACAAATTAATCAATACATTCAACATTCAATTAAAGGCGAAATGGGGACGTTAGGAAACCCGCCGAGTAGTTCGGCGAGCTCGATTCAGCTCGCAAAACTACCCAACGTGTCTATTTTCAACCCATTTCTTTCAAATTCAACCCCGCAACCCCTGATAACGCGATGAAAACATGCATACATGAAATTTACACAAGACACATACTTCCCATCACCCCGGACTACTCAGACTTCTTCCGGGTTTTCCCAACTTTGGCCATTTAACTACGATTACCCTTAAGAATGTTGTCACCCAATCCATCATTGAGAAATTTTCGTTATTTAGCACAAATGTGGGTTACTTAGACTTCACCCAATCAACCTAACAATGAGTATGCAACACCTTTTTCGAATTCATTCAAAATCATAACACAAGCACTAAAGCATTCGATTATTAAGACAATTTAGGCAAAGGTTTCGACTTGAAAAGAGCATAATGACAACCTATGACTATCAGAGAGGCCCAACACACGTTAACCTGATACTACAATTGCAAAAGAATTCAAAAGCTTTTTAAAAATAATAATTTGGGGTTTTAGAGACTAAACTTTAATGCCGATCAAATTATTTTTGAAACGCTAGGCAACAAAGGAATCCAACCCCAATCACTAATTATCGACTACAATACTAAAGGTAAGAAATAATCTAGAAAATATTACTTTGATGTGAAGTAGAGAAGTTTAAAAGGAGGGAGAGTGGGAAAATTTAAAAATTTAGAGATTTTTTGGCACTTTATAACCGTTTAATTCTCGTCCATTCAGAGATGTTAGTCAACTCGCCGACCCACTCAGTGATCTGTCGAGTGGTCATTTATCTGGACTTTTCTTCAGAATCTTCATTTTTCTGGAGGTGAGATCGCGGTCTGCATCGAGATCGCCAAGCAGGTTGGCGATGCGCCGAGATGCTTTTTCAGTTCACCGAGTTTTACAGGCTCTATACAACTATTGTATTGAGCCAAACGACAGGTCCAGTCAGGCTCGCCGACCTGTTTAGTGACTTGCGGAATGGACTTTCTGCTCGCCAACCTAAGATTTTCCACACTTTCCTCTGTTTATCTACAACTTCAACACACCATTATTTATAAAAGTAAAATCCTAAATTTTTACAACCTTGGGTTGCCTCCCAAGAAGCGCCTTATTTAACGTCGTGGCTAGACGTGAGCTATCAGTCAAGCTTCATCATTGGGGTTTGAACTACGCCTTACTCCACTCACTCTCTCGAGCTAAGTGTTTGGATATGGGACTAGGGTACATCCTCTCGGGCTGGACCTCGTGTCGACCCACTCCTCAGGCCATCAATCTAGCAGTCTTAGTTTCGCGACCTCTCTCTCTAGCCATTAGAAAACACATGGGTGGTTTTGTATTTGCAACTACAGACCCATTAAATTAAACCACAACCACTAGGTCAAATCACCATTAAAATACAACTAACCTATCATCAAGCAAGACCCAACAATAATATCAGCACATATTTGCTAAATCACACCCCAAGAATGGGTGTTTTTAGCCACACATAAAGAAATAAGAATTATACCTAAAATGATACTAAAATCAAATGGGTATAAGAAATTAAACCTTGATTTAAGCAAAGGAAGAAGAATAGTGAAGACCCACTTCCAACTTGGGGAAGATGAACTCCTTTCTTCTAGTCTCCCAAAATCCATCTCCAAACTTGAGAGAAAAATGCAGAAGCTAATATTCTAAGTCTCAAAATTGCAATAATGTTCGGATCCTCTTAAAACTAATAAAGAGCTAGTATTTATAGTTTCATCAAATAGTGTAGCGGCGGATTGTTCGGCGAGGTAAGTGGGAATCGCCGACCTACTCGGCGATTCTCCCATCGTCTGGTTCGTCGCCCTTCTGTGCTTGCTTACAACATCTTTGCGTCCTGGACCATTGGGCGGTATATTTCTACTTCGCAAAACTGATCGGCGATACGCCGACTGCTCCTCTCATCGCCTTTTTGATCCTCTTCCTTAAGGGCTTCGCGTACTGGAACAAAGGGCAAAGTATGTTGAGTCGGCGATTCGCCAAGTGTGCTTGGCGATGCTCAGGCTTCAGTTTCTTTGGTTTCTTCAGTCTTTTTGTTCTTTTTTGAGCCTAAGTGTCCACGATTCCATTAAAACTTCAAATACCTGAAACTCGAGAGTTTTCATCAGATGTTGAGAGAAAATAAGCATTTGAGGACACTATTTATATTAAAATAAAGCCCTAAAGGAGTCCATTCTAAGGACTCATCAACACTCCAACTTAAACTTTTTCTTGTCCTCAAGTAAAACTCAAGTTCAGTCTTTCAAATACGATGTCTCAAACAGTGCTACACCAGACTCAACCATGAACATACACAACAAGAATTAGACTACTCATGCCAAGATCAATTGTGTACTAAAAGATTCAAGTTGTGGCACACCATTATCAAAGATTCTCAAGCTTGCAATACTTGCTACTAATGCAAGTTCAAGTTCAACAAAAGCATTTGAATGCCCTCACACAAATGATTATTCCATATTCACACACAAAGGTCTAATCATTTAAATCTCAAGAATCAGATGCAATGCTCACACTCAAAAAAGAGGAACAAAATGCATGCTTTCACCCATAGGTTTGCCCTTATTTTCCAATCAACCTTCGGTTCGGCTCACCCAAGATCAAAAGGTCTATACAAGGCTTGTAATGGGCTGAGTGCAAATGTATGGTCATTTAGGCTCAATGACTTTCATAAATGTATGGTCATTTAGGCTCAGTGACTTTCATCCTCATGAGATGTGGTGCTCTCAACACATCCTTCTTTTCTTCCTTCATCATTTTTTCTTCTAGTGCTTTATAGTCATCTTATTATTCACTTCCCATGGATCTCTTGGAAACCCAATCTCTTTCGCACTTTATTTCACAACTTTCTATTTCATTTCTTTTCTTTTCTCTTTCTTTTTATTCTTTTTTTTATATGGAGGGTTTCCATTTTGTTTTGCAATACCATGGGTTTAGAGAAACTTGTTCTTGCTCTTCTTGATTTCTTCCTTTTCCTTTTCACCACACCCCCAACTTAGGCTTTTGGCCTAGGTTGGTTATTCACTTAAACACATCTCAAGAGGATTCTAAGTAATGGATGAAGAGAGGTCTAAGTTTTCATCAAGTTTCTTCCAAAGAAGGATAGGCTCAAATGTTGCTGAAGAGAGGTTCACATGCTCATAGGGTAGGCCACAACAGAGGTATATGTCAAATTGGCTCACACTCTTCAAAAGCTGCCTAAGATCATCTCAAGAGCAGGCCTTACTTAATCAATCGGACTAATCGGGTAAATTCTAGGTGTATTCATGCATGGTTCAATATAAGCTCATCACACAAGGCATCAACACTAAAGTCAAACAAGACTACACACTTTTGCTAGTGTGCAATGGTCATCTCATGAGAATCTATTTGATACATGGCTAATCACAACGAGATGCAAAGAGTTCACATATTGTTTATGCAACTTCATTTGGTCTCGTTGTAGCCGAACATTCATGTTTGTTCGATTGAGAGCACTATTCAAGTAATAGGTATTTGAGTGAAACCGAGACTCAAATTTGTATAAGAACAACCACTTTCAACACATGAGGTGGCTAAATTTTTTGAAAAATGAAATTTTTTCGAAATGGTTAAATTCATTTTGCAAATTTAAAACATAAATGAGCCATAATTTCAAGCATCCACAAAAAGCAGTATAAGCTAAACTTAAAAGGAACAGACAACCCAAATGTACACAAAAATACAATTATCCATAACAAGCAAACAAAGGTGAACCTCGCCACACCACAATAAAAGGCGTGTGTCCTCAAATGCAATTTATAAGTATCCAATAGTTAAAGTAATGAAAGAATAGAGAAAGAGGTAAAAAGGGGATCCTGTCTACACGGTTGCTCCATTTGTTGGGGTATTGTTGCCCGATGCATTAGCCTGAAATTCGACAATGGTTCCCGGGTTGTCATTCTGCTTCTCATTGTGTTCATTTTCCTTAGCTTCTGCAGCGATGTTAGCAGCAACCATTCTGTCCCGATCATGGCTCGCCAAAAAGGAGTTTATAGCCGTGTAGACTTCACGTTTCCACGAAGGAATAGTGGGATCAATGGGGACCCCTTGCTTTCTTACTTTCTCTTATCTCTTTTGCCAATTCCACTATCATTTCGTATCTTTTGAAATCTCTTGCTCTTATATGTCGGGGTGGCATATCTCTCCCTACGACCTTTGGTCTAGCCATTTCTGTAAAAGACATCGAGCCAAAGTTAGACAGTATTTAAACAGAGGAAGGGGAGTCCTGGGTGTAGAATTGCTTCACCAAAACAGTTGGTGAAGTGCACATCCATTTAAGCACTTCGCTGAAAATGATGCATAGATGGTTCAAGGGTATAGACAAAGGGGTAGATAATGAGGCTTTCAGTGAGTCGCCGAGTGTGCTTGGCGACATCAGACTTACCACCGAATATAACAGATTAATCAATACAGTCAACATTCAACATTCAATTAAAAGGAAAATGGGGACGTTAGGCAAACCGCCGAGCAGTTCGGTGAGCTCGATTCAGCTCGCCAAACTACCCAACGTGTCTATTTTCAACCCATTTCTTTCAAATTCAACCCCGCAACCCCTGATAACACAATCGAAGAATGAATACACGAAATTTACACAAGACCCATACTTCCCATCACCTCGGACTACTCCGACTTCTTCTGGTTTTTGCCAACTTTGGCCATTTAACTACAATTACCCTTAAGAATGTTGTCACCCATTCCATCATTGAGCAATTTTTGTTATTTAGCACAAATGTGGGCTACTTAGACTTCACCCAATCAACCTAACAACGACTATGCAACACCCTTTTCGAGTTCATTCAAAATCATAACACAAGCACTAAAGCATTCAATTATTAAGATAATTTAGGCAAAGGTTTCGACTTGAAAAGAGCATCACGACAACCTATGCCTATCAGAGAGACCCAACACACGTCAACCTGATACTACAATTGCAAAAAAGTTCAAAAGCTTTTAAAAAATATAAATTTGGGGTTTTAGAGACTAACCTTTAATGCCGATCAAATTGTTTTTGAAACGCTAGGAAGCAAAGGAATCCAACCCCAATCACTAATTATCGACTACAATACTAAAGGCAAGCAATAATCTAGAAAATATTACCTTGATGTGAAGTTGAGAAGTATAAAAGGAGTGAGAGTGGGAAAATTTAAAAATTTTGAGATTTTTTGGCACTTTATAACCGTTCAGTTCTCATCCATTCGGTGATGTTAGTCAACTCACCGACCCACTCAGCGGTCCGTTGAGTGGTCATTAGTTCCACCCTTTCTTCAAAATCTTCAATTTTTTAGAGGTGAGATCGACGGCCTGCATCGAGATCGCCATGCAGGTTGGCGATGCGCCGAGCTGCTTTTTGAGTTCGCAGAGTTTTACTGGCTCTGTTCAACTCTTGTATTGAGAAAAAAGGCGGATCCAGTCGGGATCGCCGATGTCACGACCCGGGAGCACCCCCAAGTCGTAACAAGGCGTACTCGACCCCGAAGGGGTCTTATACAAGCCACATAGTCATTCATTGCATTCAATAATGAAAATAGTGCGGAATAATAAAAAAAACTTATTTACATCCACACATTTAAACTTCTTAAAACAACTTTAAAAACACACAGCGGAAGTCTAAGTCTCACATGGCCATCTTAGACACAAACAAAA